TGTATTCTGTCACCTTACCAAACTTGTTAATTTCCACTTTTCTTTAAAACATTTACTCCAGCCATTGCCTCTTCCAGGAAGCATTCACTACCATTACTTTCTAAATCTCTCCATCTCTTCTCCACCACCCATAAAGGCTTTATACCTGTATTATATTCTTACATTTCCTGCTGCAGAAGTCTATACTTCCTACATTGTATTGTAATTATCTGCTGAGAGGCCTGTTTCTTCCCCAAATTTTGAACTTCTTGAGATCTAAATTTTATCCATCTTTGATCCCTAGGCATAGATACTCAATATGTTTTTTGAACTAAAGTGCCCTTGAGTTGAAACATAAGATTGAAGTTTAATAAAATCATTTCCCTAGCCTTTTAAAGTATTCTATTTTGAAGAGGATTGCTCCACTTTTTGGAAACTACCAATTTGTATTAAATATTTTCTTTTCTCTTGCAGGTTTTGAACCTTTCAAATGGCGGAGAGGAGATAGTGAACCCTGAGGATGTCTGGAATGGCGTACCCGAGTTGGATAAGAGTCCACCTGGGGTATAGAATTACATAAATAGTAATCAATGAGATCATTGCCCTTCATTTTTAAAGGCTACTTAAACTATTTCCAAAACCCTTGTGTTTAGAAAGAATAGAGAAAAAAATACTAATACTGTAATAACAATGAGAAATATGAATAACAAAATCAATGCTTCTGAACTTTATGTGAGGTGTCCCTTTAGGCAAACTAGTTATTAATGTTTTACTCCTTGATTTCGATTTTGGGATTTAACAATTGAAAGTCATTTGGTGTCTGTGACCTTTATAAAAATACTTTTGATGCAGAAAACCTGGGGAAATGGTAAAGTTAACACAGTGAACGTTTCAGTCACCTATATAATACATCCATCAAAGAAAGACCGATCAGTTTGGTTTTCTTTTATAATTTTTTCTGTTTATGTGGAATATGTCAGTTATATATTTGAAGCATAGTTGATTTCATTATACATACAGTTGTACATTCTGTGTTCTTCATTTAAAATTATATGGTGGCATTTTCCCAGGCCATTGTAATACCTGGGCATTTGAGTTTATTCTGTTTGGAATTTGTTGGACCTCTTGCTTCAAAATCTTTGTCTGATAGTTCCTTATCTGGTCATCTCAGGGATTGCATCTGCTGTCTTGAGAAATCATCAGCTTTTCCTGGTTCTTTGTATGATGAGTACTTTTGGATTACATCCTGAATGTTTT